TGTTTTGAGGTTGATGATGTCCATGGGGCTTTATTTATATGTTTAGATGCTTTGTGGTTGCATTTGAATGTTTGGGAAGCAAACATGTTAACCAATTCACCGTGAGCATCATCTAACTGGTTAGATGAATGGACAAATATGTGAGTTTGATGGGATTCTCCCATCTAACCGGTTAGATGGGTATATCTAACCCATCTAACTAGTTAGAATGCCATATACCTGGGTAGAAGCTCCCATCTACCCGGTTAGATGAATGGACAGTAAGGGTGTTAGATGGATTCTTTTATCTGTACAGGTCAAAATGGAGGGTTGATCTATCTAACCGGGTAAATAGATTCATCTAAATCGAGTTGAAGATAACTGAAAAAGATGTTAAGAAAAGTAGTAAAAAGAGATGTTGAGAAAAGACAGAGGCGTATGGAAGATGCGAACAATAGTAGACGAATGCGTGTGAAAAAAAAATTGCTTATTACTAAATCAAAAGGGCAAATAAGGTATTATTTGATGGAAATAAATTGCAAGAGTAGAATTAACCTAGCCCTATTTAGAGGTACTTCTTGCACAATGAAAGTAAATCCCAAAGATTGTTTCACCAATAGTTTAATTGTTTGGCAAAAATTTGAAATGGACTTTGACCAAAATCTGCTTGTTTTAAAGCTCGTTTAGTAAAAGCCACTAAAAGTTACTTTTAAAACTTACTTCCGGCGACGATAGGCACAATGAAAGTAAAATACAATCTTATCCTTGTTTTACCTCTTTATCGGTTCTTACTCTTATCTCGTTTCTCTCTAAAACTCCATTGCTTCTAATGTTAGAAAAAACTTGGCCACAAACGATCCTCCACCTTTATATCGCCACTTATCACTCTACACCACCACCACCACCGGCTAACTTCATTGGCAATGGGTTATTAGTTGTCACTTATCTCCAGTTCAGCCTAATACCACCACCATATAAATGAAACCCAAAATAATTTTGGATCAATTATCTAATTGATTGAAGATTATAAAATAAGAGAGAGAAGGTAGATATGGTATAACATAAATGGAGAATGAATGGTATAACTGGAGAATGAATGGTATAATTGGAGCGTTGAGGGATGACGTGAGAGTCTTCACCAAAGAAACATGCCCTTGATTGGCCCTTCTTATTAAGTGCAGTGTAGAAGGCCGGCACAGCCAATAAGAAACCCTAAAAAATTTAAAATTTCTTTATATTAAGTTATATTATAATTATTTTCTAATATTATTAAACTCTAATAAATACAAAATTTTTATATTTGGCCCAGATTTATATCCTAAAATAGTTTTTTTTTTTTTTTTTCTCCTCATTTCCATTTTATATTAGTTCTCAAATATTATATCCTAAAATAATTTCTTTGGGATTTTATATTAGGCTTCAAATATTTATATCCTAAAATAAATTTTATTTTTATTTTTTTATTCTCTCTCCTCACTCGTTCCGTTGAACTCTAACTTATACATAAATTTAATATTGGCACCTAAAGATTTATATCTTATATGACTTTTTTATTCTTCTTTTCTACTCCTTATTCATGTTTTCCTATACATCCTAACCAATATAGAAATTTAATATTGAGCCTAAAAATTTGTATAATTAAATAATTTTTAATTTTTTTTTCCCTCTTTCTTTCTCTCACATTCATGTTTTTTTTACAGCAGCACTAAAAAAAAAAATTTCTGGGTAAGTTAAAATATTAAATATGTATTTAACGTTGTTTTTTTTTGGGAAAGTGGCGAAAACTTCTCATATATATATATATTATCTTTTATCATTTTTTTTTTTCAACAAGTCTTCTCCTCCCCCTCTCAATATAAGTTTGCAGTGGTCTTTTCTTCTCAACTCCATACTCATTATATACTCTCAATATGAACGCACTTTGATTCTATTGAAAATTTTGTAGGAGTATTAAATTTGGATTTTCTAAGTTAGTTTTTTTTGGTTTTTTTCTTTAATAATTTTTTTAGTTTTATTAACTTTTGTTATTATAAATTTGTCTATATATATATATATATAACTATTTTTATTTATATTGTTGAAAGGCCACCTTTTATTTTTTTCGCCTAAAGCTCCAAATTAGAACGAGCACCCTGTGTAGAAGTGTAAATTGAAAATAAAAAAATAAAAAATATTTTTAATTCTCAAGTGACACTTTAATAAAATTCTTCAGCAAACAATTTTTTAATTTTGAATTATTTTTATCAAATTCACTTTTCCAAAGGAATTTATAATGAAGGACTTTTGATATCAAGAGCCAATTTTTTTTCGAGGGATGCTAGCGCCATCAATCATGTGAGGTGTCAGCAGCCTTGCTATTTTTTATTTTTTTGTTTTTTTGAGCCTCATGCCTTTTGATTCATATTTTTATTATTTTTCTGTTTCTTTGTCGATTCTCTCTCTTTTCCCTCCCCTACTCTCTTTCTCTATATATGTCGATTCTCTTTTTTTATTACAGGAAAGAACTTAGGCCGAAACTGGCATACAATGGACCGCCGAGCAAAGGACGGCCGACAAAATTCGGAAGTGGGTTCGAGTCCCCGTGTGAGATCGTTTGAGCTGCGAAGAGTCACCGGCGAAACGGCAGTTGTCAACGTCAACGGTGATGGATTCAGTTGAGCCACAGTCGATGAGGTAGTGGTCGATCGGAGAGAAGGAGGCTGCGTAGCAAATAATTTTTTCTATTATAAATTACAAAATTGAGATTGAAAATTAAAAATTATTCCTTATCCTCAAATGACTTAAAAAAATGTCTTTGCTGAGGCCTGTTTAGCAAGAGGAATAATTTTTTTTACTTTCAATTTCTAAAATTGAGAATCAAAAGTAAAAATCTTGTTTAATAAAATATTTTCACTTTTTTATTTTAAAAAAAGTACTTTCTAAATTTGTAAAGAAAAGAGAAAGTCCTTACTTTCTTATTTTCTACCCTGTTTACAAAAATTACTCCCTCTACTGTAATACTGTTTAAAAAAAAAAGTTCTAACCATCTCCTTCCCCATCTCCTCCACCCACCGCCGCCACGTCCCACCATAGCCCCTGCCACGGCCATCTCTCCCCTCTCATACACGCCAAAACCTATCACCATAGCCCCTGCCACGACCATCTTGAATGGCGAAGACTTCAATTGGGGGGTGATTTGGGGTGGTCTGGACCTTGATGGTTCGATCGGTGGAGTAGTGGTGGCGGAGAGTGGTGGGGAAAGTGAGGAACCAGGTTTAGGGGTCTTGTGGGGTGAGGCGAGAGAGAGAGACGAAGAGGAGGGTGATGAGAGAGACTGAGATGGGGTTGGGTGAGGTGGGTTTGTGGATGAGTGGGGTTGAGTTGGTGTTTAGTTGGGGTGTTGGGTCTGATTCTTTGGAAAATTTTGTTTTGCAGAGTGATGATGTATATATACACACACACACACACTGCTGCAATTGACACCGGAATAGACCGCCACCAGCCACAAAGAGATTGGGATGAAAATAATAAAATTCCAGATCTGCCTTCTGGAATGAGAGAGTGCACTGTATATGTATATATATGAAGAATCACTGCTGCAATTCCGCCACCAGCCACAAAGAGATTGGAATGAAAAAAATAAAATTCCATATCTGCCTTCTGGAATGAGAGAGTGCACTGTATATGTATGTGTGTGTATATATATATATATATATAAAGAGAGAGAATATAACATTGATTGTCAAATTAATAGCAAAATTAAAATTATAATTATTAAACTTACTTTCTAATTTTTTGTTTTAAAAATATAAAAAATTAGTAAACATAATTTTACTTTATATTTTAATTTTAAGAATGAAAAGTTTAATTTTATTTTTGAAGAAAGTAAAAGTAAGAAAGTAAAAGCGTTACTAAACGATCGAAGAGTTTGTTTTTTATTTTCATTTTGAATTCCAATCAGCGAACTCACTTCTTCAAAGGCCTTAGAATTTTAAAATCATAAAGTTCCTCCAAAAACCCCATTAAAAAGTCAAAAATAACTTTTAAAAAGCTAGAAGTAGCTTTTCAAAATGGCCAAGTCCAAAAAAGATTAAATTTTATGGCTTTATCGAAGATCTAAACACTTTAAAATTATTATACTATTTTTTTTTTTCTTAACTAGCTGTCCAATCTAGTATTTATCTTTTTATTCTTCCATATTTGAATAGATTTTTATGGTTGACGAAAGATGCCCAATATAATTAAGAAATAAAAATTAAAGAAAAAACAACAACATTTGATTACTTTTCTGTCTCAAAGCCAATGCCTATAATCTCTCAAAAGAGGCATTGTTTTAGACAGAGGAATATAATACAATACTTTTTCTATTTTTGAAAAAGATTCTTTCATGGTACTTGTTTTTTTTAATTACCATTCATTTCGTTTTATAAAAAAATGTTACTTATAAAGAATTGTGAAACTTACAAAGTAGACTGATACGGTTATAAAAAAGAGACATTTTTTTTTTCTTTCTAAAGACCGAAGTGATATAGTTTTTCTGTTTTTTAAACCAAAAAGAAATACTTAAAATATACTACAAAAACTACAGTTTTAGTTCTCGCTCGTAAACTTTTTAAAATTTCTAAAATATTGAGAGAGAGAGAGAGAGAGAGAGAGAGAGAGAGAGAGAGCCTCCATGTGCGAGGTGGTACTTGGGGAAGCAAGAGAGAGAGATGGCAGCAATTCCAACGCATTTGGAAGTTGGCTTTCATGGAAGTGACGTAATTCACCAAACACTCAGATTTGGTGTTGAAGATTCCAGAATCAATCGTCATAACATATACATTTACACACACACACACACACACACATATATATATATATATATATATATATATATTATTATCAAGAAGACAACGTTTGGCTTCAAGAGCAGCACAGCGCTCCATTTCCTGGATCTTACACTTTCTCTCATATTTCCCGAGAAAGTCTCTGATTTTCTCGAAGAAAGTGTTGGAAGTTCCTCTGTGAAAGTTCATGGGTCGTTGGTGTTGATGTGAGAAATGGAGGGGGCTGTGATAAGGGAGGGGAGGTCTCTCGCCGATACACCAACGTGGTCGGTCGCAACAGTCACTACTGTTATGGTTTTCGTCTGCCTTCTGGTCGAACGATCCATCTATCGATTCGGAAAGGTGGGCTGTTGAATTAGTGAACAAAAGAGTCATCAATTGTTTTGTTTTGTTTCATTGAAGCTTGCTTGTATTTATTTTGCTTTTGTACTCTTGTTGTTTGTTGTACAGTGGTTGAAGAGGACTAGGAGGAAGGCTCTGTTTGCTTCTTTGGAGAAGATTAAGGAAGGTCAGTGAGTGGTATAACGATTGCTCAAGTGTATGTTTGAGTGTGCAATGATTTGGGTTTTTGTATTTTGATGGCATATATACATATATCGAATGATTGAGAATTTAAGGACTATTGGCATAAATACATATTGAAGCAATTTTGTAGGATTATTAAAATGGGAATTGCGATTTGAATTGATTTATTTGTCTATATGTTTATGTATATTATAAGTTTGTTCTCTTCCACCAAGCAAAAAGATAAAAAGGAAAAAAGAGAAATTTGTTCTTTTGCCTCTATAGCTGATGTGGTATACAGTGAGATTTAACTCTTTGTAGGCATATTGTTGATATAACATTTTTTTTTTTTTTTTTGGCAGAGCTAATGTTGCTTGGGCTTATATCATTGTTGTTGGGGCAATGGGCAAGGTCTATTTCTCAGATTTGTGTGAATTCATCTCTTTTCAGTACTCGGTTCTATGTTTGTTCTGAGAATGATTATGGCATTGAAGAGAATATGTCATTCATAAAATCTCTGTCATCTCCAAACGAGACTGTTATTCCTCCAAGAGGAATTAACAATCCTTCATCTAATCATTGTGATGAGGTAATTAGCTTCCATCTTTGGTCTTATTTCTTTGCGTGGTATTGTGGTTGAATTACTTTTTTTAAGACGAATGATTGATTGCAGGGGCGCGAACCTTTTGTTTCGAAAGAAGGTCTTGAACAGCTTCACCAGTTTTTGTTTGTTCTCGGTATCACTCATGTTTTGTATAGTTGTGTTGCAGTTGCGTTAGCTATGACTAAGGTACAGTCTCCATCTCCATCTGCGGGATTATTTTAAGAGATTCTTAGTTTGATAATTAGGATATCACCAATTATTTTGGGTCTTAGACATCACTCAAAATGGGATTCACAAATTTGTTTTCAGAAATGTTTCTATTCATGTGTCAAATAAATTCAGTTTGCAAGGGTATATATGGTTGTCTATTGTATGATTTTTGTAGATTTACAGCTGGAGGAAATGGGAAAACCAAGCAAGCCTAGTACCTGATGGGAATTTGCAAGGTATGGAATAAATTGAAGAAAACTAGATCTCTGGGTCACATAGAAACCAACATGAATATATTTTAAAGTCAATTAAACCAAGCATGCTAGTTGATTCCAGCCTTTGCATTAGACTGTCTGGAATTATTTTTGATTTTTCTACTATTATCCAGTGTATTTTCCCTTTTCTGATGAATGACAAGTAATTTTAATTTACACTCAGATTAAGAATGTACTATATGGATATATGTCAGATTGAAGCTACGAGGTACCTTGGGTGCCCATTTGTGATGACCTTGTGGACGGGTGTGTCGTGGGCGGGTGCAAGAGACACTGTCAGGCTACCACACTGGCGAGCTACGGGTGCACAAGTCCCACATCGCCTGGGTAGAGGAAAGGTGAAGTGCTTATATGTAAGTGCATCATCTCCAATTGGTATGAGGCCTTTTGGGGTGAAGCCCAAGAGCAAAACCGTGAGGGCTCAGGCCCAAAGCGGACAATATCATACCATGTGGTGGAGTGGGTCGTTACAAATGGTATCAGAGCCTGACCCAGCCGGAAGTGTGCCGACGAGGACGTCGGGCCTCCAAGGGGGGTGGATTGTGATGACCTTGTGGACGGGTGTGTCGTGGGCGGGTGCAAGAGACACTGTCAGGCTACCACACTGGCGAGCTACGGGTGCACAAGTCCCACATCGCCTGGGTAGAGGAAAGGTGAAGTGCTTATATGTAAGTGCATCATCTCCAATTGGTATGAGGCCTTTTGGGGTGAAGCCCAAGAGCAAAACCGTGAGGGCTCAGGCCCAAAGCGGACAATATCATACCATGTGGTGGAGTGGGTCGTTACACCATTGTTCTCCATGCAGCACCGTCTTTTGTTGTTATATTGAATCTTGATTTTACTTCAGAATATCTCACAGTATTAATTCTTTCTTTTGCTACTATTTTGGGTCTGTATTCTTGAGCAAACCAAAAACATTGCAGGCTATTAATTGACTTGTTGCATTCATGTCTTCTTTTAAAATTGATAAATCCATCAAACGAAATGCGACGTCCTGTCAGAAATATTATTAGTTTCCCTGTAACTGAAGCTTCCATTTCCAATTGAATGAATAGAATGCAGTTATTTTGTAATTGTAGGCTAAGTGGTGTGCAACTCTTTGTTTGTTTTTTATTTTCTTTTATAGGAAAGATGAACAAGGTGATGAGGCGACAATCCACCTTTGTTTTACATCACACATCTCATCCATGGAGCAGGAGCCGTATTCTCATTTGGATGGTGAATGTCCATGCTTCTGATATATTTATACCACATAGTAACAAGAGACTCTTTTTTCTTTGTTTGTATTATTGTGCTTTCTTCTTTTGATGGGATTGCTTAACATGAAATGCATGAAAGGAACAGGCTTATCAATATGAAAGATGTGAAAGTTTTTTGCACCCTAGAATATAATATCTGAACTACCTTGTATGGATGTGCTTTCTCTCTTTTTTTTAAATTTTTTTTATATATATTTCAAGAATTTTAGAAGGTTTGTGTCCTATGTGGAAGCACGATTGCATACATCCTCGGAACAAAGCAAGGACAGAACACAAATGACTAAAGAATGACTGACAATTTTATATGTTTTTTGCCCTTCCACAGTTACTGAGAGCTATTTCTGACACTTAGATGTTGCAGTATTGATTTTTTATCTTAAAGTTTTACTTGCTGAGTGAGGCTGTGATAAAAATTTCACTTGAAAGCTCATATGATACAGTATCTCATAATATATTATAGTACTCACTAGTTTCAGTTTTCTACACCTTTCAAGATAAAATATTAAGCCTTTTCAGTGATCTGAGGGTAGGCGTGTGTGAAGTGTGAGCTGAATATTGGTTTTTAAAAGATCTCCGAAGTTCACCACGGAAGTTACATGAAACAGAAGCTCTTCTACTCTCAACTTTTGAAATATCCTTTGCATATCATTGCAACCTGAAAGGCTTGGGTAATTTGAATTGAACCATCTGAAGCTTCATGAATAACCTTCAAACACATTTTTGTGTTTTAAAAGTTGTGATGCTTGGAAGATGATGCGACGATATCTATGGCCAATGCTTGGAAGTTTTGGATGCCCATTTTGCTGGAAACCAGGCTGAAGAATGTGGAGTTCATGGAACTTTCACCAGCCTATCTCAAAGCCAATGGTTTCTTTGGGTGTGTTGGCATTCTAGGTGGTCAAAACCTCTCGTGGAAAAATTCATGATGAAAGGAGTTTAAGTTCAAGAAGCACAGTGTCAACATTTGACATCAACAATGTTGGTAATGACCTTGAGGGTGGGCTTTGACGCAACGGAAAGGTTGCTCTATTGTGACCTGGAGGTAAGGTTGCTCCGGTCATGGGTTCGAAATCGGAAACAGCCTTTTCATGCGGTGTACATCTCCCAAGCCCGCAATGGCGGGTGCCTCGTGCATTGGGCTAGCCCCCCTCCTTTTTTTGTTAATGTTAGTAATGGCCTTCTGGAAAGTCTTCATCTCTTTGAGACTTGAACGAATGCACAGGGTCAAAGATAAAGGTAGGGCTGACTTTGAATGAAAAGCACATTAGATGGGGTTGTCGTAATGAGACGTAGTAAAGTCACTTTCCATGCTTTGATTTAAAAAATAGTGATTTACCATACAAAGTATTTTGTCTTGCTTTTTTCTTATCTTTGGTTGGTTTAATTAGTTTGCTTTGATTTAAACAAACACATTTAGTATGTGGTTGCTTTGCTCTTAAAAGAACTAATTGACATAAAAGAATTATCTTCTTCCTTTTCTCTCTATTGCATGGTGTATTGATTCTGTTCTTTTTGTTCAACCATCTCCCACCCCGGTCTCCCAAGAAAAAAAAAAAAAGACATGCAATGGTTTTGACTGTAGCTTAATTTCTGATGCCTTGGGTGGGTTCACCATTGATGTTTGTTTTGTTATTGAGTTAATTTACTGTTTATATTGTGGAATGCTAAACTTAATTTTATGGTCTAATGATGCAGCTTTGCTTTCTTCGACAATTCAAGAGTTCAATACAGAAGTCAGATTACTTGGCTCTCCGATTAGGTTTCATCACCGTGGGTATCTAATATTCATAATACCTTCTTTTGTGTTTCCTATCTACTGACATGCTTTGTCACCAATTCTTATTTACTATCAATAATAAGAACCAAGATATATGGTGAATAAGTTGTGCATATAAGAGGAAGAAAAAAGTAGAGGTCTAGATGTCACAGTAGTCCTTTTCAGCAAAAATAGACACAAGCATCAGGATCTATAACGACTTTAAAGTGTCCAAAAGGTAATCTGGAGAATAAAATATTTGAGATTGCTATGGCAGCACCAGCATTTGATACATATCAATGTAAAAGAAATGCTTAAGTAGCCACGAGGATTGATATTCCCTCACACAGTTGCCACAATTCCTTTTCTTTAAGAGTTCAAGTTGTCCTCTTATAATGGAGTAAATTATCTTAAAAAAAAGAAAATGTAGTCTAATTTCTTGCAGTTTAAAAGAAAAGAAATGAAAAAAAGAAGAAGTTGACAGCTAATTAATCACTCAAGAATACTTTTGTTACCGTAACTTTCATGTATGCAGAAAAAATTATTTGACATAGTTGGAATTATGAAGCATTCTTCATATTTACTTAGAATGTTCTCCTTCCTTGGTTATCTTTCTTTCTTGCCTGTAGCACATGGAATCCTGGATAGATGTGGTGTTAATGCTATTATAGTACATAGTTTCAGCATATGTTAGTCATATTATGTTACTTCATCACTGATATCATCGGTTTAATGTTTTACTGTAGACTGCTGCGTTGTTGTGCTGAGGTCTTAATGTAGCATTTAATCTTGACGCTATTTTGCAGAATCACAAACTGCCACATTCTTATAATTTTCATAAATATATGGTGCGGAGCATGGAAGATGAATTTTATGGCATTGTGGGGATCAGGTAATGGTGGCTAATCTGAATTGGTTCATCATACTAGAAGAAATACAAGATAGGAGGACTAGAAGTGTAAAGGCTTGAATTAGGATTATAATATGTAAAGGCTTGAATGAGGCTTTAAACACTCATTCACAACTTTGGTATTTATATACTAAAAAGAGCATACTATTACAAGGAAGGATACTAATAAAATCATTGCCTATTTTATGCCCATTGCCTACACATATGCTTAAATAAAGTCAAATCCCATGATAGCCTATCATATCTCGGCTAATATGGTAAGTTATATCCATGATTCTAACCTATCAATCTATCATATATCGACTAACACACCCCATCAAGTTGGTGCATGGATATTTGAGACGCCCAACGTAGATAATGCATCCTCAAATATGGTCTTTAAAAATATAGAGTCAACGACTATGTTTGGCTGCATTAAATTGACTAGCCAAGACATAACCATAGCGTTTTCTCCAACTGGGGATACGTCTAATATAACTCAGCTGGTGTCTCCTTAGACCATGAACCATTAACTATTTCTCCTCAGACCATAAGCAACCAACTATGTCTTCTTAGACCATAAACAACCATTATTGTCTCCTCAGACTATTTCCCTTCATACGCATGTTTAAAATATGTAGACGGAAGAATCAACAATGTCTCCTCAGACCATTCCTCTTCATACACATGTTTAAAATATGTAAATGAAAGAATCAACAATATCTCCTCAGACCATAAATAATCAACAATGCCTCATCACACCATTCCACATTTCCCCTTCATACACATGTTTAAAATATGTAGATGAAAGAATCAACAATATCTCCGCAGACCATAAATAATCAACAATGCCTCGTTACACCATTCCCCTTCATACACATATTTAAAAATATGTAGATGGAAGAATCACCAATGTCTCCTTAGACCACAAACAATCAACAATGTCTCCTCAGACCATTCCTGAATGGGTGGTGCTGAATTTGCAATGCCCTCGTGGCGGTCGGACCACCCTAGCTCTGATACCAAAAAGAAATACAAGATAAAGAGAATAGAAGTATAAAGGCTTGAACGACGATTTAAACATTCATTCCCAGCTATGGTATTTATATACTAAAAAGAGCACATGTTAATATTACAAGAAAAGAAACTGAATAAAATCATTGCATATTCTATGCCTAGACATATACATAAATAAAGTCAAATATCATAATTCTAGCCTAACATATCTCAGCTAATATGGTAAGTTTTATCCATGATTCTAGCCTATCATATCTCGGCTAACAATAGTCCAGTCAATTTTAGTGGTTTATGTTGTCATCTTATCGGTTAATGGAGTTTGACATTTGGATCAAATGTCATTTCATATGTTTTCCATTAGTTAATGTAATTTTTGTAGAAATTCTCTCTGTAAAATATTCTGCTTCATATCTTAACATTAACATCTTGTACAAGTATATATAGGAAAGAGGGAAAGCTATACAAGGAAAAGAATAAAAAATATTCCTACAAATCTGTTCCTAATTTAAAGCAATCAATCTATCCTAATTTACTGCAATTAATCTGTCCTACAATCTTGCTCTAAATTTACCATGGTGAGAAATCAATCAAATCCCTAAAATAAAGGGAAATAATATATATCTGCCAACACTCCTCCTCAAGCTGGAGTATAGATGTCTCGAATGCCCAGCTTGTCAAGTGCCAAATTGAAAGTCGTACTTGACACTCCCTTTGTCAAAAAATCTGCAAGCTGATGTTCTGTTTTCACAAACGGAGAGCAAATTAATCCACCTATCAACTTCTCCTTGATAAAGTGTCTATCCACTTCAACATGTTTAGTACGATCATGCTGAACTTGATTGTGAGCAATGCTAATGGTAGCTTTGTGATCACAGAAAAGCTTAATTCGATCCCTAGAATTAAAGCCCAACTCCTTTAACAAAGCCTTCAGCCACAACATCTCGCATATACCATGAGCCATGGTTCTAAATTTTGCTTAAGCACCGGATCTGGCCACAACAGATTGTTTCTTACTACACATGTGATTAGATTCCCTCCCACAAAGGTGCAGTATCCTGAAGTTGATCTTCTATCTATTACACATCCTGCCCAATCAGCATCTATGTATCCTTCCACTTCGTGATGACCATGGTTGGAGAATAACAGACCTTTCCCAAGAGCTGATTTTAAATACCTGAGAATAGAATCCTGTGCACAACCAACATGTGTGTTTCATAAGGAGCATGCATGAACTGACTTACTACACTCACCGCATAGGCTATGTCAAGGCGATTATGTGCCAAATATATTAGCTTCCCAGCCAACCTTTGGTATCTATCTCTGTCTATAGGTGTATCATTTATGCATTCACCTAACCTATGATTTTGTTCAATTGGAGTATCAACAGGTTTGCAAGCCAACGTTTCAGTCTTAGCCAATAAGTCTAAGACATATTTTTGTTGGGAAACAAAGATTCCCTTCTTTGACCTAGCAACTTCAATACCCAAAAAGTATTGTAAAGACCCAAGGTCTTTGATCTCAAATTCTTTTGCCAGATATGCTTTTGGCTGAGTTACATGAAGCCTCTTTTGAGGATAGCTTCTGAGCATACTCTTGCATCATTTTATCTACCTGGGCTGCAAAAGAAGATTGTGCATCAGACTGCACGTCAAAGGTTGTATAGAGTGCTCTAGAATTTGAGTTATCCCCCTTGTTTCCACCTTTCTTACGGAACCAGTTTGGATAACCTTAAAACAAGTCTCTCGAGTATGTCTTGCCTTATTACAGTGTGTACAGAACAAAGACTCTTTGTTCTCCTCTTTGTTCTCAAGTTTCCTCGAGAAAGAGGTTTGGAGTCTGCATAGTGGCCAAGGCTGAACTGTCCTGTGAGACACCTGTAAGCATGGTGGCCTGACGGAGCTCCTCACGTCGAATATAGGCATGTGCACCGCGAAGATTAGGAAGAGGATCATGCCCTAAAACCTGTACTCTGATTTGATCAAACCCTGGGTCGAGGCCGGCTAGGAAATCGTAGAGCCTTTCATTTTCAATTCTCTTCTTTAGCTTTGTTGTATCCCCAACATACTCCATATCACATGGCTGGAGAAAATCCACCTCTTGCCAAATGACCTGCAAAGCAGAAAAATAGATAACCAATTTCTTCCCTTTCTGTCGAGTCTCATTTGCCCTGCGCCTCAGTTCATCAATCTCAGAAGCATCACTGCCATCAAAATAGGTTTGAGCCACGGCTTCCCAAATAGCATGAGCTGTGGGAAGTAGAAAACTGGTGCTAATATCCGGAGTCATTGAGTTAAGAAGCCATGACATCAACATGGCATTCTCCTCCAAGTAGAGAAGGAAGGTCCGGAGTCATTGAGTTAAGAAGCCATGACATCAACATGGCATTCTCCTCCAAGTAGAGAAGGAAGGTTTAGTATCCGCCGATTGTTTCTTCACTCCAGTCAAATACCCCAACTTTCCCTTTCTTGTGATGTACAACTTCAAAAACTGGGACCAGGCAAAATAATTCGTCCCATCAAATTTGTAAGAAGTCATATGCACACTCATGTTATCAAGTTGATTTGTCACAATCGAAGGAATGGGCGGTGCTGTACTAAAATCAGAAGATTTAGAGGTAACGACAGACATGTTTCGATGTGTATGGTGTTTAGAATCTAGGCTTTAGGGTGTTGTCCAAGACAATTGCACACCAAGAGAACAAGAATAGGAGGACAAAGAGAATAGGTCAGCGGTAATGGCTTAGACCCGTGAAACTTTTCTCTCTTTCTCGCACTATTGGTTTGATACCTTGTAGAAATTCTCTCTGCCTCGTATATTAACATTAACATCTTGTACAAGTATATATAGGAAAGAGGAAAAGCTATACAAGGAAAAGAATAAAAAATATTCCTACAAATCTGATCCTAATTTAAAGCAATCAATCTATCCTAATTTACTGCAATTAATCTGTCCTACAATCTTGCTCTAAATTTACCATGGTGAGAAATCAATCAAATCCCTAAAATAAAGGGAAATAATATATATCTTCCAACATTTTTTGAGTGTAACATGTTCTTACAAGGAAGCTTATTGTTCTACCTTTCCCATTAAAATGAAATTTCATGATTCAAAAACCAGGAATCCTTCATAATCATTTGTGAAGGAGCCCAAGTTTCTACCTCAAGACATATCTACTCTAACTTTTTGTATAAACCTCAGGACAAGAATTTTAAAATTCCTAAAAGGCCCACCAGCAGAAACGACACAATACATATATTTTCCAAAAATATATAGGTTTTGGGGTCTCTCTAGCATGGCTGATTTGGAGAGAGGGGTCCCTTATATAAAGGTGAAGGTGCATGGGGTCCTTGTGCCATGTGTCATCCTTTTTTTGCCACCTTGCATAGTTAATGACTTTATTCAATTGAGCTCCAGTGTTGAACAATTGAAGTCCACCTAGATCAGGTTATGCAAGTATGTCTGACATGCCAGCTTCCAATGTTGATCAATGTAAAGTGTGGGAATTCTAAATTATTTGAATTGATCAACTGATTTATTTTGCAGTTGGCCACTATGGGGTTATGCCATACTATGCATCTTCATAAATATTAATGGTAACTTGAGCTTTTTATCTGAAAGTAAATATGAATCTCTGGTTCTCTTGGGTTCAAACTTCATAACACCTTTTGGCCTAATGTGTCGCAGGTCTTAATATTTACTTCTGGCTTTCTTTTATCCCTGCCATTGTAAGTTCATTCCTACTTTTGTTGTCTTTATTGTAAACTAGAATGTTCTTTTTTGGCTAATAATTTTAATATTAATTATTCCACCTGTCAAAGCTTGTCATGTTGGTCGGAACAAAACTCCAGCATGTTGTCTCCTTGTTAGCACTTGAGATTGTGGAGCCAAAGGAGACATCAATTGGAACTCAAGTGAAGCCACGTGATGATCTCTTTTGGTTTGGAAAACCAGAAATATTGTTATGGTTAATTCAATTTATATCATTTCAGGTGATGATTTTGTAGCACATTTTTTTCTCATTGATGAATTAGATAACTATTCCTTTGGTTTAGTGATTGTTTTTCTTGTATGTGCAGAATTCCTTTGAGATGGCAACATTTATATGGTCCTTGGTAAGTGGAGATCCTTTTTATACTCTCTAGCTCTCTCTCTCTGTGGTTTTTCCCCCCTATCTTAGAGTTTGTAGGTCTACAATTTATATATCACATAAGGGGCTTAAAATGCCGATGGTTCGTAACATAGAAATCTATGAGTCTCATAAGCATCTATGAGCATAAATCCATCAAAGTTGAGAATGAAGCACTAGTAGCTTTCTTACCAGATTTACTTGAAATGCCCAAGGGAACCTTGAGGAACTAATGCTTATGGGAGGGAAATAAAGAAAGAATTATCAGAAAGTACTAAATGTCTAACAACAGATGGGAGAGACTAGCTTCAATTTGATGAGACGTCCTTTCCCAGAAAAAAATTTAAATTACGGGAAGACAACTAGTGAGTAGCAAGAGATGAGAAGGCTGGCTTACATTTAATTGTTTTATCTGTCAGTGGCATTACATGGATGCTTGATACAGATACATACTAAGGAATGCTTTCCCAAACCCCATCCATGTACCAACAAAAAAAAGAAAGAAAAGAAATTATGCTCCTTATACATATAATCATGCACTCTAAGCTCCTAGAAGGGTTATCAACTAATCGAGCATAACACATGAAATGCCTGTATTCACTCCTTATTGAAGAGGTACAAATGATACGGCCTGTATTCTTCTTTTTCAACGGACTCCAGAGCAATATAGGTGAAGCAATACTCTATATATAATGTGAACTGATTTATAAGGTAGTGGTAGATAAAATTATGTAGTTAGAGAGATGTTGTGAAATTCAATTGATCTATTGGGGGTGTGGGGTGGTGTAGGTAAAATTATGTACTTATGGAGAAGCTATGAAATTGAATATTATTATCACACCTATCATTGAGAAGGCGGCTGATAGACAGTGCTTAACTTATCTCATAAAAGTATATATCGTTGTGAGTTTTGATGGCTTACAGGATGTGATTTTGTGGGATAACTTTGATTGAGTTCCTAATGAATGATAAATTTTCAAATTAAGAATTTTTGCCTTCACTTCAGCTTTGCACATCGCCATTAACTTACACAATTTTTAGATGCTGGTTCACTATATGACAACAATATCAAATTACTGATACTTTCTGGCCCTTGAGGAGCTTTGACTTGAAATTTCACTTTCTTTCTTGTAAACTGCAGTTTATCATATGCTTTATTATTAATCATATAATTGAGTTATGATTTTTTTTCCCTGTTGTATAGTGGGGATTCAAGCAGCGATCGTGTTTCATGAAAAACCATGTAATGATAGTCATTCGGTTGACTTCTGGGTACGTTTCTCTCTTATAAATGCACTCCTATAGTTCCATTTGGAGAAAGAGAGAAAAAAAAAGAAAAAAAGAAAAAATATTATTATTATTTTTAAATTCATACTCTTGCAAGTAGACACACTCACTACATTAGTTACGAACGTCATGATCTGAATGGAGTTCGGAGTTCACATTTATTCAAACGTTGACCTACTATAATGGTGCATTTGGAATGTTCCATGCATTAAGTCACTTTTGGTTAGTTGTTCTTGAATCATCTTCTTAAGATGCCTCCAATTTTTTCATTAAAACATGCAAACAGGTGGCCTTGTAGCTCAATTATGTATGCTTTTGGACATGTTCATTGTTCATACTTCATGTGAATTTTGAGAATTAACTTCATGTTGGTTAGGGTTTCTTTTTCTTTGTTTTTGGTAAGAAAAAAAATATAAAAAAAAAAACCGCCGAACCTGCGCGGGCGAAGCCCAACAGATTTCAAGTTTGTCTCCTTAACCACTCGGACATATTGACACTTGTTAATAAAAGGGGTCGTTGACCAACTTGTTCTTGAGTGCTGGGAGGGGCAGATTGGATATCATGTTAGAGTGTTTCTCAATTTCATCATAGTGCTTTATTTGAGGTATAGAAATCTTTAGTTGAGGTGGAGCTATGGTGGATCACGTGAAGACATAGTCTGATCACTTGTTGATTACATGGAAAATTTGGGAGGTTCAAATTTGTAGGTGTCTACATTGGCTACTGGCATATTACAACTGGTTCCGTAGGGCGGAACCAGTTCTGCGTGTGACGTTGCAGATTTAGGTTTGACTACTGCCAAAGTGTAACAGGTTCCATGGGACGGAATCGGTTCCACTTCGGCAGTGAGTTATTGGGAAGCTGCGAGAAACAGTTTCCTAATCAGTTTTGGAAGCCAGAAGACTTGGGAAAAATGATGAAGATATGGGGAAGAAATTGTACCTGCTATTTTATTTAGAGTTGAAGACTGATATGGTAACTCCTTGTAGGTAAGTTAGGGAATACTTGTCCAACAAGGAATTGAGTTTTGAAGACTCTATAAATAGAGATGGGTATGACCGTATGAGAGGTTTACAGAGAGAGAAGAGAGAAAAGATTTAAGGGGCTTAAGGGTTAGTGTTGTGAGGAAAGGGGAGGGTATATGTAATTCCTAAGTGTATACATGTAGCCTCAAAAGAGATGATGAGTGGGTGAGGTCTTGACACGTGGTTGTATATTCTCTTCCTTGATTCATAATAGTGGAAATCTCTCTTTCCATGAACGTAGTCCTAGAGTTGGGTGAACAATGTAAAATTGTGTTGAGTGGGTTGGAGGGAATTAACTTCTTGTTTCTTTGTTTTTGGTAAAAAAAAAAAAAATAATAATAATAATAAACCGTCAACAGCAGGGTTCGAACCTACGCGGGCGAAGCCCAACAGATTTCAAGTCTGTCTCCTTAACCACTCGGACATATTGACACTAGTTAATAAAAAGGGTCATTGACCAACTTGTTCTTGAGTGCTGGGAGGGGCAGATTGGATATATATCTAACCTTTGGCTCTTTCAAATTAATGAAAGCGAACTTTTATTTTATAGGGTTAAATCTACCTTTGGCTCTTTCAAATTAATGAAAGCGAACTTTTTTTTTATAGGGTTAAATCTTTTTTTAGTTCTATATTAGTCCTAAAGTGTATCATCCCAACCTTCAACTTTATAGGAAGTGTGCTTTGATTGTGAATCTTGCATTCCTTTAATTTGTCTGTTTTGGAAGAATAATCTATCATGATGAGCATACTTTTTAGGTCCATTAATTAATATTTTTCGCATTTTGTCATTTATATTTTGGCTTGCAACTGCATTAGATCATGGATGAAACTGAAGAAGTTCGTATAAGATTAGTAGTGGACATCAAGGAAGTGTCAGTAAATTTAGCAAATCATTTGAAAGAATATTGTTGAATTTGTTATACAATTTTGCTTGCTAAATTTTTATTGATCTACTCCATCTTTTACATGCTGATGAGTATAATAATCCAGAGGACATGTTAGGGATTTTGGGTCATCCATGTTGGATGTCCCCATGCTGGTTGCCTACTTTCGTAACCATCTAGAGTTGGTCTAAAATCACTCCTATGATATTCTCATATCAATATTCTGTCAAGAACATGGAGTAATTTAAGGGTTCCTATAATAAAATTATCCAACAAGGGCCATTTTCTTTATTGACCCATTGAGGATGATGGAGTTGTAATTAAAAATATTTATAATATACAAGGGTGCAACATAATTTTCAAAATACAACCAAACACACTTAATGAATTGAACACAATCCCTCTTTATTTTTACTCCAAAATCAAATTTAAATAAATAAACCCTTTGTTGGGGGAAAAGAACTAGCGAAAATGAATTAATTCTAGATTTACTATTATTTTAATACAAAAATATTATGTCATCTACTTGAATGAAATCCATCATAATGTCATAATCTAATCAAATTGGTGATAGGAAATTCTTATTCAAGGCAATGAGATACATGGTATTTTTTTATTTTTATTTTATTTTTTAAAAAAAGGAGAAGAAAGATCCATAGTATTAATAGAGTGTATCCTTCTCATCTTACTATACTAAATTATGCATAAGATTGGAGTTGGTAAAATTCCCTTATTGTGCACTACATGTTGCGGTTAGTTTTCATTTTTCAGGAGGCTAAATTTTGCATCCAGTTGCACCTTTTGGTGGTAGTTGCCTTGATATAAATCTACTATTAAAAAAATTATGGCAGTGCCGTATTGTGCAAAGTCTCTTCATTTTCATGCCCAATTTGATGATGCACTTCATTAGCAACTTTGTACGGAGTACATTTTTCCTGTTTTCCTTCACAGGATGTGACTTTTTTTGTTTATTCCCTTTTATTGTCAGGAAACTGGGTGCAAGGCATTCCTTAGAATTGAATGGATTATATGATGAACATTGTTTGCTCGAAACAGTTTTAAGTTTTTTATACATGTACTTGAAACTCTTGTAGGTTTATATTTCGGCAAAGCAATATTCGATTTTTATTCATGGAACAAAAAGCTTGTTTACTAGATATTTTGCATGAAACTTTGTATTATGATGTTAAACCTTTGGCGTTTGATCTTAGGGACTTGTAGGTGCTTCGCATTGTCAATTCATTTAACATAGAAGAGAACACAGTGAAGAAGGAGAGAGAGAGGCGGATTGGATTCGGACTAGATCATGTTTGATCCAATAACCCGATGTATTAGTTTAGTTTGTATCCATATCCAATTTGTTATTAATATCTGAAAACCTGATCCCAAAAGGATTTAAAAAAGAAGAAAAAAAAAATTATAAACAAAAAAAAATGATTAGGAAAAAAGAGAGTAGAAAATTAGGTATTTGACTTTTGTTGAAGAAAAAAACAAAGAGACAAAAATGGGAAAGAGAAGATTAAGAAGAAAATACTTATAAAAAAATAGATTAAGAAGAAAATAATGATAAAAAATATTTTAATAATATGTAAATATTACATATTATTATAGTGTTAGATATTATATTTATAGTATATTATATATTATATTATATTGAGTCGGATTCTTATTGGACCAAATCAATAATGATTCATATCCGGTTTGTTTAGCTAATGGATGACATATTCGGATCGCAAATGAGTTATCAGATTGAATGTTCTAATTCATCTGAATTGTCGGATTGGATTCAGATCGGAGTTCAATCAAAATCTAATCCATTAACAGGTCTAGAGAGAGAACCTCAGTTCTGATAATGATAAGCTATTATTGGTAGATTTCTTCAATATTTTATTCCTTGAACAAAGGGGTCACTGCTTGCTCCAGCTGGGCTGCCAAGTGTAAAGACTTTGGTTTAAGCTTGGTTTTTTGCAAATAATACCAAAGATGAGAGATTTGTATCCAATCTATAACTCCCACTTCTCAGCATTCTCAATTAATGGGGACCACACTGGAAATGTCCTTTTGATGTATTAAACACTTTCAGCCAGTATGCGCCACTCTGGGCTCCACTTGAAATTGCCAATGAGCCAGGAAGGTTTAGAAGCTGAACATTGAAATTCCGGTATTAATATTTGTTGTTTAATTGTGCCAGGACTTCCTCTGTGTTACTGGAATGAACTTTATTATCATTGTCCTTGTTCAAGTTGTATTTTGGTTATTTTTAGGTCTTTCATTGTGATACACGTCTATTTTCGTATAACAGTGTTTGACCCTCTAAGATAAATTTGGTTCTTGAAACATTAAAAATGGTTAAGTTCACATGGTGGGATATGGATTTAATCCCTATCATAGAAAATCTAAAAACGTGCCGAATCAACTTATCAAAAAAAAAAAAAAAAAAGGATGTGCTTAATCGGAATGCATAGTTCTTAAGGTATCAGTGGTCCTTACATATAGTTCTCATAGCAAGGCTACGCCTCGTTGAGTTGAGGTGATAGTTTTATAAAATTTGTGATAGATCTGTTGGTAAAAAAATATACTTCCTCTTTACAAATTGTGTTATTCTCATATGATAATCAATATTTTGAATTTTCTTTTTGTTTTTGCAGGGTTCTTGTGCAATTCTGGTGTAGCTACAGCACAGTACCTCTGAATGTAATTATTACACAGGTTCGTTTACACAATTACACTTGGAAGAAGTTTAATTATGAAGCAAATGAGTATATTTACCTCGTATTTTGAATTTAAATGCATCACAATGAAACAAGCATGCATTGCATCTAGAACAATCTCTTCATATGCCGCATGTCTTCAACCGGTGATTAACTTTCCATGATTTGGTATTCATAGCTCGCACATGCTTCCTCTAACTAGTGGTTAGCTCATGTTCCCTAATGAGCTTTGTGTACGTATTACCTTTAGCATCAAAGCAAAACCTAGAAGTCCTATTCTTGATATTCATTATTAATCCTAGGTTAGTCCAACACTTGCTCAATAGCTTTCCACAGGCTACAGACTAGTTTTTATTTTTCCGAGAATTCCTTTGAGTGAAGTTCAAGTTGTTCTGGAAAGCTAAAATCCTAACTACAGAATCTCAAGTACCTGAATATAATCATATATGACAAAGCAACAATTAGAAACCAGAGAGTGAAATAAAACAAAGATAAATTAGAAAATGAAATAGAAGACCTTCGAACGACCAATTATCGATTTTTACAATTTTTTTGTCCTTGTCCACAAACCAAATATAGCCTTATTTTCTAGGTTAAGTGAATATAAGTATATCTTTGTTATGGATTCTTCTGAAGGTATACCTCAAACTGTTTTATCCCAAATATACTCATGAGAGTGTTATTCATTTTCCTTTTCCCTCTTATGACAAATGTACTAGAACATTATAAGCATGTGATATCGTCATATAGATTCATAAGGTATATATATATTTTTATCTATACACATGTTAATAATTCAATATCATATAGATTCATAAGGTATAATTTTCTTTTTGCTTTTGTATGAATATGTTAATAATTCAAACCTTGATGATTACAAAAAGAAGCGAGTACAAACAAAATAAAGTAATTTACTATATAGTGGTGTGCTAAATATATATATATATATATATATAGTGGTAAATGAGTGCTACTACTATGAAGTGGTGCGGTTTGATGCACTTGCCATGACTGCAGTTGCATTATTTTACTAACTTATAAAATCAAATTCTGAAAATTAATTAGAAGCAAAGGTGTATCAACTCATCCTATAATTATGAGCTTATATAAGTATTATCTCTAGAATACAGTATAAATACTAGTTTTGCATTATACTAACGGTTGTGTGAACGTTTCCATTGCATGACTATGGGTTACATCATTCAGATGGTGTGAAGATTGAATGCTTCTAACTTTGGGTTATAAAATTTTGCCTGTGTTGACTAATAGAAACCTAATTTGTTAACTTATTATTTGGGAGTGGAATGGATAAGTTAATTATGCAATTTGAGATACTGGAAAAAACCAACCAAAAAATTTTCTTTCATTATCTAATATGGAGAAGATATATGTTTGTTATTCTATATGGTCTGTTCTCTTATCAAGTCTTGTATAGTCACTGCTACTTCTGGTTTTTTTTCGATAGAGAAAGCTAAACAACTATAGTAAATTCTATTCTTGTCAAGTGGGTGTAATGAAGAACTGATTTTGTCATAAGTGAAAAATTGAAATAAATTAATAATAAGTTGGAGAAATGTTAAATAATATTATATATGAAAATTGACGTACTTGTCTATCATATATTTGCAATTGGTAAATTAAATTTCAATTTCAGAAGTATCGTAACCCCAATTTCATGGAGAGGAGAAAATGTTTGTTACCTATTAGCTTTAACATCGAAAGTAAAATCTAAACCTAAACGTGTGAAAAATTTAAACAAATAATAAGTTGAGGAAATGTTAGATAATATTATATATATATATTTTCTGTACATATATGTTAATAATTCATTATGATATGGATTTTAAGGTATAAGGAATACGTTAATAATTCAAACCTTGATGATATCAGATGGGATCTCGATGTAAGAAAGCCTTGATTGCTGAGAGTGTCCGGGATTCACTGCATAGTTGGTGCAAGAGAGTGAAGGAGAGGTCCAAACGCGATGCATTGCATTCAGTTACCACAAGGTCTACATGCTCGCTTGATTTTACAATCAACGAGGACGACGAAATCATCACAGTTGCCTCCAATACTGTATCCCGGTGCTCATCTGCAATGTCACTGGATCAAGTCGAGCTAAATGAGACATCAATTGAACAACCGGAGACCCTCTTCGGGACTTCCAACCCACCCCAATACGAATATTCCTTCCGAATACCAGAAGACAATGTGGATGACACAGAAGTAGGCGAAGTCAGTACTCTTTTCGAGTTGTTTCAGAAGACATGACATACCCCATTTTTCCAGGGTGAGTTGACAGTATTCCCAATCTAGGATGAGATCATGTTTCATTTCTGACAGGAGATTTCTGATTTAGCTACCAACAACACCGAACTTTTCAAGGAGCTTATGAACTAATGATTTGGGTAGTTGATACATGAATGAATCGAAAGATAGGCTAGACAATGGTATGAATCTGGTTTTTTCTGGTGCTTTTTAATTAGAGTTAGTGATACATATTCCGACTCTTGGACTAATCTGATTATTTTATGTGATGATGTTGTTCTCTACTAATAAATTTTTTGAGGGATGCAATGTTAAATTTTTTGAGTGGTCTCCGAGTTTTGCAAATTAATCTAATTTTCTAAATGGACACATGATAAGTTGTAACTCACTCACTTTTTTTTTTTTGGAAGTCAAGCAATTACACCCTACCTTCACCACAGAGATTCGAACAATTCCCCCCTCCGGGCCGCGCTGCGCCATCTTTGGGGAGGAAACAATGATACCGCTAGACCTTTGGTAACTTAGGACTCTTTTTGCTGTCAATGTTCTTGTCATTTCATCAATCATTAACGAATATCTCTTCTGCATTCTATCCGCCTGAGGCTACTCATGTCCATCGCATTTTCAAAACCTAATATATATATTTATAGAATTTTAAATCCAATTCATTGTTATTTTTATCAAACAAATTCCAATGCCAAATAATAATTAAAATAGGAATTTGGAATGTGTGGAGAGAGAGAACTGATTCTTCTACTGTGGGGACAAGGGGAAAAAAAAAATTGTTTAAAGCAAACCAGAAATCAAACCGTGAGAAGTTATCTGATAATCATCAACCTAAAATGTTATAATATAACTTAATAACCAAATTATTAAATTCAAAATGACCTTTTAATACATACAGTAAAAACAAGCGGAAAAATATATATATATACAACCATTAGTTTTTAAATTCAAAAAGACTTTTAATACCTTTTTGGATATATATATATATATATATATATATATATATATATATGAATATCTATACTATTATTAAATGTGCAAAGTGTTTTAGTGTTTCAGTATTAATTGATATAAATTCTATAAAACTCAAAATTACCTAATAAAATTAAAATTAATTCAAATTAACATAATATAAAAAAGAGTTTAATTCAAATTACAAAGTTCTACATTGGTTTTAAGTAAAAATGATTACATGAAAGCCTCCTACAAAATTATAGAGTTAAAGAAATAATAATCACACCTTCTCGGCCTTTTGGCTAAGATCAAGTGTAATACTAAATTTTTTTGGGTCGGCCTTTTGGCTAAAATCAAGTATAGTACTACTTTCTCGGCCTTTGTGCAAAGGGTTTCAGTATTTATTTATTAATAATTGATATAAATTCTATAAAACTCAAAATTACCTAATAAAATTCAAATTAATTTAAATTAACAAAAAATTACCTAATAAAATTCAAATTAATTCAAAGTAACAAAATATAAAAGAGTTTAATTCACAATAAAGAGTTCTCATTAATTATTATATCCCACGATATAAATTCTATAAAACTCAAAATTACCTAATAAAATTAAAATTAATAAAATAAGTATTTATTTATTAATTGATATAAATTCTATAAAACTTAAAATTACCTAATAAAATTAAAATTAATTCAAATTAACAAAATATAAAAAGAGTTTAATTCAAATTACAAAGTCCCACATTGGATTTAAGTAAAAAGGATTAGATGAAAGCCTCTTATAAAAGTTTCAGTATTTCAGTAGTTATTTATTAATTGATATAAATTCTATAAAAACTCAAAATTAGCTAATAAAATTAAAATTAATCCACATTGGTTTTAAGTAAAAAGGATTAAATGAAAGCCTCTTATAAAACTATAGAGCTAAAGAAATAATAATCACACCTTTTCGGCCTTTTGGCTAAGATCAAGTGTAGCACTAAATTTTTTTAGGTCGGCCTGTTGGCTAACCTTCTTGGTCTTTTGGCTAAGATCAAATGTAGTACTACTTTCTGGACTTTTGTGCAAATACTTTCAGTATTTATTTATTAATTGATATAAATTCTATAAAACTCAAAATTAATATAAAAAAGTTTAATTCACAATAAAGAGCTCTCATTAATTATTATATCCCACGATAAAAATTCTATAAAACTCAAAATTACCTAATAAAATTAAAATTAATTCAAATTAACAAAATATAAAAAGTGTTTAATTCAAATTACAAAGTCCCACATTGGTTTTAAGTAAAAAGGATTATATGAAAGCCTCTTATAAAACTATAGAGTTAAGGAAATAATAATCACACCTTCTCGGCCTTTTGGCTAAGATCAAGTGTAGTATTACATTTTTTTGGGTCGGTCTTTTGGCTAACCTTTTTTGGTCTTTTGGCTAAGATCAAGTGTAGCATTACTTTCTCGGCCTTTGTGCAAAGAGTTTTAGTAGTTATTTATTAATTGATATAAATTTTATAAAACTCAAAATTACATAATAAAATTCAAATTAATTAAAATTAACAAAATATAAAAGAGTTTAATTCACAAAAAAAGAGCTCTCATTAATTATTATATCCCACGATATAAATTCTATAAAACTCAAAATTACCTAATAAAATTCAAATTAATTAAGATTAACAAAATATAAAAGAGTTTAATTGACAAAAAAAGAGCTCTCATTAATTATTATATCCCACGATATAAATTGTATAAAACTCAAAATTACCTAATAAAATTAAAATTAATTCAAATTAACAAAATAAATATTTATTTATTTATTTGATATAAATCCTATAAAACTCAAAATTACCTAAAAAAATTAAAATTAATTCAAATTAACAAAATATAAAAAGAGTTTAATTCAAATTATAAAGTCCCATATTGGTTTTAAGTAAAAAGGTTTACATGAAAGCCTCTTATAAAACTATAGATTTAAGGAAATAATAATCACACATTCTCGGCCTTTTGGCTAAGATCAAGTGTAGTACTTAATTTTTTTGGGTCGACTTTTTGGCTAACCTTTCTTGGTCTTTTGGCTAAGATCAAGTGTAGTACTACTTTCTCGGCCTTTGTGTAAAGAGTTTCAGTATTTATTTATTAATTGATATAAATTTTATAAAACTCAAAATTAATATAAAAGAGTTTAATTCACAATAAAGAGCTCTCATTAATTATTATATCCCACGATAAAAATTCTATAAAACTCAAAATTACTCAATAAAATAAAAATTAATTCAAATTAACAAAATATGAAAAGAGTTTAAGTCAAATTACAAAGTCCCACATTGGTTTTAAGTAAAAATGATTACAAGAAAGCCTCTTATAAAACTATAGAGCTAAAGAAATAATAATCACACCTTCTTGGCCTTTTGACTAAGATCAAATGTAGTACTAAATTTTGCAATATACTACTACTCACACAAAATATAATAAATTCAAATTATCTTTTAATATTAGTTTTTTTAATAACAGCTAATCTAATTTGACAAAATTATTAAAATATAAAAATATTTATTAATTCATATAAAAAGAGTTTTAAAAATATTTTCTATAAAAATCTAACACGCATTACCTATTTATCTATTTATTATGAGTTTTTTTTTAATAAAAAATATAATTAAACAATAATATATTTAAAGGAAATAAAAATTTTCTATAAAATCTATCACAAATTATCTAACTCTAAAATTTACCTAATAAAATTCAAATTAATCTATTAATCTATTTATTATTATGAATTTTTTAATAAAAGAAAATCTAACTAAACAATAATTATTTATATAAAAAATATTTATTAATTGATATGTAAAATAAATTAATTTTTCTAAAACGCTACCACAAATTAGCTTTTATTACGATTTTCTTAATAAAATTAAATTAAATTAGACACGGATATATTTAAAGAAAATAAAATAATTTTTATAAAACTCTATCACAAATTACCTTTTTTAAAAAAAGACTCTACCACAAATTAGCTTTTATTATGAGTTTTTCATAAAATTAAATCTAATTAGACAAATATTATGAATATAGAAAATGATCTATTAATTAATATAAAAAGAGGTTTTCAAAGAGTTTTTATAAAACGCTAACACAAATTACCTATTTATCTATTTATTATGAGTTTTTTAATAAAAAGAAATCTAATTAGACTAGAATTATTAAAATAAAAAAATATTTATTAATTGATATAAAATGAGTTTTTAAAAGAGTTTATATTAAACTTTAATACAAATTATCTATTTATTTATTTATTATAAAATATTTATTAATTGATATAAAGAGAGAAATTCAGAAGGCCATAGACCTAGAATTACAGAAGCTCCGCCAAAAAGTTTCAGTATTTATTTATTTATATATAAAATACAGAATATAGAAGCTCTGCCAAATAGTTTCAATATTTATTTATATACACAAATTTTATTAAACGTGCAAGGAGTTTCAATATTTATTTATTTATATAAAAAAATATTTATTAAATGATATGAAAAGAGTTTTTTTTCTTTAAAAAAAAAAAAAAAAAAAAAAAAAAAACCTATCAATTGAATAAATTATCAACACATGCATCATAAACCGCTACATTATAGAATTAAACAAGGTCTAAGGTTAATAAAATTAAAAGAAGCATAAAAAAAAAAAAAAAAATAGTTCACTTTTCAATATATGGTTGTTAAGCATTTTTTCTTTTTTATATAGGCACGTCACAAGAGATCTTATATATATTGAGAGTCTGAGACAACAAATTAGAGCTAGCCCCACATGTAAATTTTGTGATTTTACAAAGTCCCACATTGATTTTAAGTAAAAAGAATTACATGAAAGTTTCTTATAAAACTATTGAGCTAAAGAAATAATAATCACACCTCTTCAGCCTTTTGGCTAACCTTTCTTGGTCTTTTGGCTAAAATAAAGTGTAGTATTACTTTCTCGGCCTTTGTGAAAAGAGTTTCAGTATTTATTTATTAATTGATATAAAATCTACATAATAAAATTTAACTTAACCTATTTATCTATTTATTATTAGGAATTTTTTAATAAAAAAAAATCTAATTAGACAAAAATTATTAATATAAAAAATATTCTATAAAACTCTAAAATCTACCTAATGAAATTAAAATTAGTCTATTTATCTATTTATTATAATGAATTTTTTAATAAAAGAAAATCTAAAGTTTCAGTATTTATTTATTTATATAAAAAATATTTATTAAATGATATGAAAAGAATTTTCATAAAAAAAAAACTCTATAAAACTCTAAAATCTACCAAATAAAATTCAAATTAACCTATTTATCTATTTATTATTATGAATTTGTTAATAAAAAAATCTATTTTTCAGAGTAAAATACAAAAGCTCTGCTAAAGTGTTTATTATTAAAAAATTCTTAATAATAAAAGAAAATCTAAAGTGTTTTAGTATTTATTTATTTATATAAAAAAATATTTATTAATTTATATAAAAAGAGTTTTCATCAATACTATTATTAAATGTTCAAAGAGTTTCAATATTTAATTATCTATTTATATAAAAAATATTTATTAATAGATATGAAAAGAGTTTTTATAAAATAAAATAAA